ATTGAAATTATATTATGCTTTAGTTATACATAATAATTTTATATGTTTAATGATCTACTACGGAAGATAGATGGGTGACTAATCACTAAACTAAGTCTAAATAATTCCAATTAATGTTTAAAATTTGATTTATTTGAAAAACAATAACAAAATGTACAGCAATCACAAATAGGTCTTCCAGGTGTCCGAAATATAATTGTTTATAAATTTATTTTGTAGTTAAATTTCGAGCAGTCTTATAATAAAAAAGTGATTTCTGTTGTATTGTATTTGTCTGTAACAAACATAAAAATTACTCAGAAAAACTCAAAAATTACTATAATATGATTCGAAAATAATTCTAAAACGACCAGTAAGTCGGCTCATTAATGACTCAAAAAATATTAAAAAATGAGTCAGAACTGATCAGATGTGGGGCTCATAAAAGACTCGTTTAGAAGAGTCGCGGGTCCCGACGAAATCATTTATGATCAGAAAATGAGCGCATATATGATCATTTTAATCATAAATGAAATGAGTCATAAATGAATCGAATGTGATCAAAAATTTCAAAAAATGCTAGCTGGGCTAAAATTAATTCTTTTATAGATCTGTATATAATTAAATTCATTGCAGATACGATACGTAACATGACACCTACAGGTACAATAACAAAAATTAAAATAGTACCAACAAACTTACATAAATTTTTACAACAAACTACTTGTAGTATACATACATATGAACATATACATATATGTAGGTATGTACATTCATATTCACGAATATAAAATAATAAAATAAAGAATATTAAAAAAAACATCGTAATACAAACGATAAATGTATAAATTTCCGTGTGTTAGTCAGTGGCAGGAATGTATAGATTTTTTACTTTAACAAGAATACATACATACATTAAACTGGAAAATGACATTAAATTGTAATTACTTTTGTTTTGTATTACGAATAGTTTTTGTTTATTGATAAAAATATAATTTAGCTTAATGAGTTTTGCTTTTTTTTATTATAGCTTGCATTGAAAATGGTTTCAAATCAATTTCAATAATAGTGCATACGAATATTAATTATTTTAACTGTAAATAGTTATCATCACCTTTCCTTTAAAATTTTCTTTTTATATGCAAACATTTGATGGGTACTTCAAATTATATTACAATAATGTAAAATTTTCAAAAACAAAAAATAAAATAAATAAATTCAGTATTTTTTAGATAATTTAAAAAGTTCAAGTGTCCCTTTGTGGAAGGTGTAATACATATGGACAAAATTTTATAAAGTAATTAGAGTTCGAATGAATTATTTCCGTAGTTTTGCTTCTTCAGAAAAAGAAAACGAAAAATAATTTCGGAATAAAACCGGAGTCGATTAAGGCGTGTCTGTCTGGCTGTCCATTTAAACCATGTGCGCAAGATACATTATTTCACATAGCCCCTATACAACCGTACCTTTCGATTTGGACTTTCAAGCTCATAACTACTCCAAATATACTAGGATATGACTTAGATCGGCTATTATATAACCCTAACTCCCATATAAAGCTTTGTTTTTCAATAATAAATTTATTAAATACATCAAAATTTAAGTAAAATTCAACATTAATTTTTTTTTATAAAAAAATAATCTTTTTTAAATATACACATATGTAACTTGCATAGGGTATTATATGGTCGCCCATGCCCGACTGTACTTTTCCTACATTTTTACTGAGAGTTTTCTTCAATAAGATTTAACAATTTCAATAATTGCTTTAATTTATTTAATATTGAATAAAACAAATATTAACACCTTGATGGTAAAACAAGATTTGACAATTATAAATTAAAATGATATCGGACAGATGTCTCCACGACCCGCACACATGTTGATTCTCAAAACAAAAATTTTTAATCACATTTCGTCAAAATTGCGTATTGTGATTTTTAATGTTGTAATCGACTGGATTTGGTTTGCAATGAATTCAAAGACTGTGTGTGACATAAGACACCGTCTTGTTCAAAAGACTTGTCGATAATATCAATAAGAAAGGACAACATTTAGTTCTGAAAAACTCGGTAGCATGATACATTTACCGCATACGCATTACTTGAATGTCATGTTTAAATATGCGTTGGTGTTAGCACACCCTGCCGAACAAATTAACCGATAAAATTCTTATTAGCGGTTTGAAAATTAAAATTTTTTGATATCACGAATTTTACGAAATGCAAGTCTCGTAGATCCATAATTTTGGAAAAGTTATTAATATATTCTCGATTCTTATTAGATTCTAAGACGATTGACAATGTCTTTCTTTTCTAAATTGGAAGGGGTTTGTGGTATTGAAAGTGCACAATATCAGTACACTTTTCGGTTACAATTTAAACAGTCATAAATATATTTATTATGTGGTAATAGTGATAAAATTTGTCATAAATTAGTTTTGTATACACGAAAATATGTATAATGATGTTAAAAATTCCCTTATTTAAATACATAGCCCGAGGATAAGTAGTCCAAACACGCATCCGCTAAGAGGAAGTACATGTATGCACATGTGTATGTATGTGTAAATATATCAAAACCTACTAATGGATTTAAAGTCGATTAAAAAGAAAAATGATAACTTGCAAAATTAAATGGTTAATGAACTTTTAATTAAAATCGTCTGAATATTTTTGTAAAAATTCTTAATATAAACCCAACTCGATTCATTACTAGAGGTCATAACATGTTTCTTTTTTAATGGGTTAAGTTCCTAATTAAATAAATTGGAAATAAATATATGGAAATTGGCTTGGAGGCTGATATTTTTGTATAAATATTGTATGTGTATTTTAAATACAAATTATAAAACTAAATGGTGGAGAGATACAAAACACGACACAACTGGTTAAAATAAAAACAATACTAAATTAAATTTTAACAATTCATTTATCATATTTTCATTCATAATTTATCCAATTCGAGTGAGATGGATGAATGGATGGTTGAATGAATAAATAGATGAATATAAGACATCGTTCAAAAATATTTTAATGAATGAATCTCATGGTTTCCACAACTACGATATGAAATAACCGATCATCTAAACGTTTTGTAAATAATAATCAATCGATCATTAATTCGATCGTTTTAATGAATGAAAACTAACGAATAATCCAAATAGAACCAAAGTTCATTGTACTGCAAATGATTTTTAGCAAACAAATACATTTCAAAAAAAAAAAACCCTTTAAAACACAGACTCAAATTGTTCAATCATTATTCTCAAATTTATTTTCTTATTTATTTTGAATTTCATAAAACACTCAATCGTGCTAATACAAGAACTAAAGATTATAGAAAATAAAACATTACGGAAATATTAAGCAACGACTAAGTCACAATTTATTAGTTTAGTGCTGATTTAATACATTTTTATACTTATGTATATATGTCGCTCTTTTTTTGTGCGACCGATCGATCGAGTATTCAAGCAAAGATGCACTTCAGTCTTTCGAACGCGTTTTAGATTTAATGAATTAAAGTCACTTTATAGAAAATTACCCAACATTATTTATGGTAATAACTTTGATTTGTTGGACAGACAAATGGTCATCCAAGCCAACCAACTAGTCAAACATACATATTTACATAGTTAAACACGTAAAAATTCTGACTACAGAACCTTAAAAGAAATTATTCGTTCATTACAAGCATAATAATATTTCACCTAGAAATATGACTGATTTTAGTTCAAAGTTATTTGCAATCAAAATTTCAAGAATGAATTCTTCAATGGACTGTGTAGTTTAACGAACAACAATAAAAAAGTGTGAGCGATTTTAAGGAAAAAAGCACGTTTTTAATTTTATTTCTGATTTCCTTAAGATGTGGCGCATAAAAAAATTACAAATACTGTGAAATGCTCGTACAGAACACAAAAATAAAATAACAACAAACAAAATTTGTAAACGTCATGTTAACCCAGCATGTGACATACTTTGTTGGCATTTGCATATTTAGCTAGCAAGAGCGATCCGAAATAAGAAATCTTAGTTCTGTTGGAAACAAATATAAAGAAATAAAAAATCAAATAACACCACAATACAATAAAAAGTTTTGTTGTCATATCGTTCAATCGATCGATTTGGTATTGATCATTGATCGTTTTACGCTCAAAATTCGCGCGTCGTCCATTTACATTTGGTTAAACTCTCACAGAATAGTGTAAATATGTTTAATAACTAAGTTCAAAGTTTTTTGTGTTATATTTAAGTACGAGTAATGGTTCAAATTTCGGCTCTAAAGGTGGGAAATGAGTACATCTAAATAGGAAGTTAAATTTGTATACTCTCGCCAGTAACTGAATATGCTCAATTTGATCTATTTTGCACTTGAATTTACGATCCCTGAAATACCCAGACGAATTTATAGCAAAACGGGAGAAAAACCTATATTGGTACTGATAATTTAAGCAACCGATATTTATTTTTTCCTAAATTAGGATTACATTATATTTCTTGATCTAGTGTTACGGTCCCTGAAGTACCCAAACGAATTTTTACCAATACGGCAGAAAAACCTATATTGGTACTGATCATTTAAGCAACCGATGTTTTTTTTGGCCTAAATTAGGATTACATTAAATTTCTTGATCTAGTGTTTAACAATTTTTTTTCATGAGCGTGATTATTCGACGTGCATATGTATACATGTAGGTATGTAATACATTAAATAGTGAATGACTCTATTTGGCGCGATTGTGCCCCACCACCATTTGAATGTTACTGGTTGGTGTTTGTGGTGCCACGTATAATGACTTTGATCGAAAGTAAGTGAGCTTCGACAATACAAGAGTCGTAAAAAAAATGAAGACGAAATAAATGTTGGTCATAATATTTTTACTTGTTACAACAAATGTTGCAAATTAATATCGCCTATTTTATTTATGTATAACAAACAACACTATGGTTGCACACAACAAACACATTTATTGCGTTGAACATTAATGATTATTTTCTTTTTTTTCATTTTTGCAGTCACATGATGATCATTCCGATGATGAAATGCGTGACTGTGATTCAGTTGAAGGGGATCACATCTCTAGAGTAGGATCGCGCTTAAATTCATCTATGACAAGTAACGGTGCGGGAACGGCTGGTGATATGAGTGGTCCTGATCATCCCAATGATATGGCCATGAGGTCAGTAGATTTTAATATTATCATTTCATTTTAAATATATACAAATTAAAATTGTTTATTACATACATATAAGTATTATTGATAGTGTGTTTGTATGTCGTATGTATGAATAACATTTAAAGTATTTTTTATTCTTTTATAAAGCCATCATCATCAATTTCCATCAAACCACCCTTTAAATGCCTTGGGTAGTTTTATGGGCATCGGTAGTTTACACGGTATTCCAAATTTACAGCACAATGATGTGTTGGAGAAACTTAAAATGCAAGTTCGTGATATGAAAGTAGGTTTAATGGTAAGTGTACATTTTTTAACTTTAAAATGTATATAAATACAAATCGAATATTCATTATCGAAAAGATAGGTTTATTTTGATTTCGTAAAACGATATAGCGTTGAAAGAACGATAGAATATAGTGTGCTGCAATTTCCTTATGTAACTTTTTTATTTTCACACAAATATGTATAGGATCAAGAATATGCTGCAGCTCATGCAGCTGCATTTGGATCAAATGTATTGTCAACACCAATAAATACAGCTTTCACATTACCACCCACAACAATGGCATCATTTACACATGCCGCACAGACTCTGGCTGCTCAAGCCGGCAACAATATAAATTCACATTTGAATGCAAATTCTTCATCGTCTTCAGTCGGTGGGCCTTCAGTCCCCAATGGCAGTCATAATAGTTTTTCATTTACCTCCCCAACGGCACCCAGCTCAAAAGATGGTAAGTTATTTTTGAGTTTCTAAATATTGCGAAATTTTCAACATTTTAACAAAATTTTATTTTTATTACGATTAAAGTTTCTGCGTTTAGTTAAAGAAATATTTTTTACCCCTGGATTAACATTTTTAGTAATTATACTTTAATTTATTTTTAGTAAATCCTGCCTCGAATTCATCAACATCTAGTGAAACATCAAATTCTTCACAGCAAAATAATGGCTGGAGTTTTGAGGAGCAGTATAAACAAGTTCGACAGGTAAATCTTTTATATGTTTATAAATATATGCATGTGTACGCAAATTGCACATATACTACAAGACTGACATAACTCAAAAAATTCTGTTTCGAAAAAAGGCATTTGACGTTTACAAAAAAAAAAAACTCTCATATGAAAGACTTTAAAAGGGCACTCATTTTGTAGTACTCAGTTCAAAAAATACGAATTTTGAGTTGTGCCAATCTTCTAGTTAATGAGCTTTATGTTTTTGATTTATAACAACAAAATCATATTTATCGAAATTAATGGTTTATTCAATGAAATTCTCTGTTTATATTTTTATTCATATTTGTAGTACATACATAATACTTATATACATAAATATATTAAAAATGTACTTAATATACATATCTTAACCGTTATAGTTCCGTATTTTTGTTTTATCTGTTAAAAGGTGTTAATTTGTCTTCAGAAACAAGTCTAGACTTGTTTCTCACAGTCAGTCAAACAGCCTCACATTTGATCATTTCGATCTATAATGATCATTATTATCAACATGTATTTAAGGGTTTCTCATTAAGTTACATACACTTCATAAACATACTTAAGATTTCAATGAAGCTGCTTAAATCATAAACTTGTAGCAATTAACAAACAAGTCGTATTATCTCATCTCTTCATACTCTACTCCAGAAATAGAAAATGTTTTGTCGTACCACAAGTGTGAGTTGATATATGAAAATTATTCAAAGTGTGAACTTTGTAAAAGGGGTTGTAAACCCTTAAAGATCAGAAGTTCAATTACTTGTTCCTTCGATTTAAATAAAGTACAAAAATATTCACATAAAAATCCCTAAATATTAGTTGTTTTTCTGTCACTTTCATTTGAAGACAACAACCAATAATTCTTGTTAAGAAATATCTATTCAAGCGTGTAAAAATTTTGTTTCCTTAGAAAGATAATCCTAAAAACTTGATCTGTATAAATCAAGTTTAAAACGCACTGCATGCAGCGCCTTTAAGTATCCTTAAGAAGGATCCTGTACTTATTTTAGAATAGGGTGGAATTCGCTATTGACTTTGAAGAGTTTATCAAATTCAAACAAGGAAGTTTATCAGATGAAACTCGAGGAATTCCAATGATTTTTATATGATGCTATCTAAACAAATTTCAATAAAAATTGTTGTAGGTCTTTCGATCAAACCGTCCGATCAGTTCAGTGTTTTTCCTATCATGATTAGATTTGTTCTATGGGAGAAGCATAGATAGTTTATGTTAAAATTTTACACAAAATGATTTATATTCCGTCCGTGCATGCATAGAACAAAGTTGTCATTACCAGGAAAAGGAGAAAACTTTCGTCATTATTCAAAAATCAACACCCAACTTCTCGAAGTGAAGTGTTTTAATTTTCTTGGCAACTATCTATCCTATCACAACCGTACCTATGATGGCGGGACTCAAGGAAATTTTTTATTAAAAAGCGTATTATTTGTAGTACAATATACGGTATATGTATCTTTCTCATATTTACTCTCTATTTCTTAAATAGTTAGTACCTTTAAATACATTTTTAATAAAAAACGTTTTCCCTCTTTTTATATATTTTATCAGAAACTTCTCAATATGTTTTTGAAATAAAAAATTAGTGTGTATTTATTTTTTTATACCTTCATATGTACATATGTATGTATGTACATCTTTAAACATTTTTAATTAATTCGTTTACGTTTTAATATTAATTCATGGCTATAAAAATGATTGTAGTTTTTCCCCTGCTCAAAATGTCTTTCGTAAGTACTTGAAGAAGTGTGAACTGAAACAGCTTACGGGCATTAAAATACCATAAAGTAAGTACGAGTATAAAATTACAAATTGCAAGTTTACCCAACAGACATCAACGATTCATTCACTCGCACGGACATCAAACATACCCAAATGATACATTGTCTATGTATTGATGAGGCTCCAAAATGAGCATATCATCTACTAATATAAACACACATTGTACTTACATACATACATTTGTAGCTTAGTACAGCTGTGTTGAGAAAAATAGTAGCGTTGGAAAATAATATTTTGCAGCAAAAACTTTATTTTTTAATGGTTGTTGTAGTTGCATGTTAGATGTTGGAGAGACTTTTATTTCGCATTCTATTTAAAAGGTTAATTTCTATTCAAATTCACCATTTTAATGAAATATTCAAATTCATGTTTAGAAATCTGACCTTTGTCCCCGAACGTAAATTGGTTAATGTTTCCTGATTCCAGTTTCTAAAGCCGGATTTAAACCCGGTTTTACAGTTACTTTCTGTGTTTATTAGTCTTACTCAATGCTCCATTAACATTTGTGCTTTTTGGAATAGTTTAACACAAATATAAAAATCAATATTTTTCAATAAACATCTAATATCGACTTAGGTTAGAACCGCTAACTGATTCCTTATTAGATATTCGCTCTAGACATTTGGCTACTATGTAATTCTATTCAACAAATGAAATAATGTTATTGATAACGACAACTCATTTCCAAGTAATGTATGAAATAACTGCTTTAACTAGATAACTAATTACCAAAATTTGAAAATATATTACTGGGCCTATACAAAAAAACAAGTTTAAAGTGTGTAAAATAAATTGACGATGAAAATAATCATCGTATTAGAAAAAGTCCATTCGTGACGAATGACTCAAAACATATTATTGGAACAAAACCAGGTGATTAGACATTAGTGAACATTATTCGCTTCTCCGGATAAATTTTAAGCACAACTGTGTGTATCACGAACACCTAAAGTTACATCCAAGTAGAATGTGCATGGATGTGTGTATCTTACACTCACTCACTCATATTTAACAAATGAAAACGGTTTTATTCATGGACTGGATGAGAATGTGTACTATTATTGTTTTTGTTAATTTAGTTAAATATACTGCAGATTGTTAGAAATGTACTTACACATTTATTTATATTTCTGCATTAAATGTTTTTTTTTTTCGAAATTTTGATTCGGTTTGATTGTGTGTATTTGTATATTTTGCTTTGTTTTTATTTTATTTGCCATAAACTAGAATTCGTTCTACACTTTAATAAAAATTGACCCTGATGAATTTTGTGCGTTAATTTGTTTTAAGGAAAATTTTTACTTAATGTTTGTTGTTTTTATACACGTACATACATACATATTTACATTTAGGAGACAGACAAATATGATGGGTATTAAACTAAACCATTGAATTTATATGTATGTACATACAAATGTATGTATTTTCTTTTAAAAGTTTGCCGCTAAATTGATTTATACGATTTGTTTGGTCGTTGGCATAATCCGGAGCAAAGTCTTAAAACCCACCTTAACACCTTTTGCGGTGAAATATTGTGGTTCATCTTGTAATATCTGCTAGGAAGCGGGAAAATTTACTTTGATTTGTATTCGCCCGTGAGTATGTGTGTGTGTCTGTCAAGTATACTACCTTAGATCGAGTTCTTGTATATATGTAGATCAACATCTTTTTGGCAAATGTGGGTGTTTCTTTTGTGGCAGTATAAATATGAATTTTATTACAAGCAGGTAATAACGCGTATAGAAACCTACCGATAGATGCGCGTACAATTTAAGTCGTTAATATTGCTATTAATCCTTTTAGTAGGAAAAACCAAATGGATTTATGTTCATACTAATTTATTTCTATGAATTTTTCACTCTGAAATTTGTTTACTTGCAAACAATTTGTATGAAATTCTATTATAAAATATTTTCTACCAAGAATAGTGATTAACGATGCCAACTAATTTAATCTATGGTTGCCACCTGGATTATATCGTGTACATCTGATAATATATACACATAAATAATAAAAAAAACTGAAATAAATATATTAAAGCTGCGTAAAGAAAGCAACGACATTTTACAGCTTAAAATTTGTAGACCATTTGAACGAAAACGCCGATTAGTTAAAATCGATTAATTATTTATTTCATTTAATCCTGAAACGGGATGTTAAAGGTCCATATACCATCCATAGCTCAAATACATCTCTTAATATTTTTGGTTACACATACATAAAATTAAATTCTTCCATTAGACCCAAGTCCAAAAAAATATTTTATATCGCCAAAATCAATTCTAAAATTATTAATAATAAATTTATCACAAAGTGTGTAGAGTAATCGTATTACAGAATTTTTAAGATGTTTAGTCGACGATTGCCCAAAGCTTTCATAAAAGGCCTTATTATAAAACCAGGTTTCAAAGATTACTCTTTCATACGTTTTCTTATTTAATTGTTTCATTTCTGTTCAGTCCATTTTTCTTAAACAAGTGTGTGAATGAATAAGTGAGTGAACCATATAAAATCATCTATATGTATATGTATATTAAGGAGGTCCTGTTTGTATGGAGAAAAAAGTTTTTTTATTTTCATAAAACCTTAAAAACTCTAACCCAGCTCACCAAATATTGGTATCATGTGAAAGGTCTTTGAGACGCACTTTCAATAGCTCCAAAATATTGAAAATTTTAAAATTTATCGCAAAAAAATTTACATTTTTCAATTTCTCATAAACTGAAATATTTCATCAATAATCCAATGAAATCATAAAGTATTGATGTATAATACTTAGATTGAAATTTAAAAAAAATAAAAATTTTTTACTTTTGTAATCGCACATAAATGTTTGATATGACATGGAAAACACCTTTTCGAAGATCTTTCATATGAAATCAAAAAAATATCTATATTTTTAAAGAAATATAAAAAAACTTAAAAAACTCAAAAAATTTAATTATTTTTGCTTCTTTAAACATCACTTCCTCAGAAGGAAAAAAATTCACTTAGTGCTACTTTTGAAGTGGTGATAAATGTTATTCCTTTGGATGTACTTCGTGAATGAATGGAGTGAATGAATCAAATTTTAATTTTTGGCGGGAACATAAGCAGCTTCCATTTTTGGGCCACCCTAATGTACATATGTATTTTAAAGGCGTTACCTAATAATTAATTACATATTTTTAATTTTATTTGTGTTTCATTTTCT